TCCCACCTCTCTGCTGTGTCTCGCCGTCTTCAGCCATTGGGCAATACCTCTGTCCGTCAAGGGCCCGCCTCCGCTTTCGAACCAATCAGCTGGCGGGAGGGCGCTTCCTTCTAGAGCAGGGTCCCGACTAGGGGCCACTTGGGTGAGGTGAGGCCGGGTGGCAGCAGTTGTGGCACTGTGCGCAGGCGCGGAACTGACGGGACCGACCCGGCGGCGGCGGCGCAAGCCGGTGAGACGAGAACGAAGGTCCGAGGTAGGGAAGGGGACGAGCCAGTAGTGTAGACGCTTCCTCCCCCACCTACCCTCGCCAGTGCCTGGCCCTCCCCGGCCTGCGGCACCGGCTCAGGTGATGGGGCGGAGAGCGAAGGTGAGGTGAGGTGAGGGGGCGGGCCCGCGGCCGGGAGGGACATGCGGTGTCCAAGACCACGATCACCCCACTCGTGCGCACGCGCCACGGGGTCCGCGGACTCGCGGAGGACCCTTGGCACAGCGGACCCGGCCTCCCGCACTAGCTGCTCCGGCCCTTCGTGTACCCCTGAGAGCTCAGCATCCCGCCTGTTTTACCCGCTGGGAAGCTGCGGCTCGGAGACACCAAGTCGCCTGGGAGCACCCAGCTGGGACACGGCCGCGCCGGAGTTTGAGGGACATTGGACTTGATAGACTCCGGAGCCCGCACACTTGAGGCTGTGGTCAGAGGCTTGAACTTGAGACCCGTTTGTTTTCTTTAGGGACCCGAAATTGTTTATGTCCTGGCTGCAGTGGGCGGCCTTGCGTGGGGCACCGCTGCCTGCCTTCTCTGCCGGGCATGGGAGGGTCAGGCGCCCTGGGCGCTCCCTGACCGACCCCAAGTTCAGCGGGGTGGGCTAGTGGGGTTGGGGGTCAGGGGACGATCCTTAATGCTGGGAGCTCTCCAGATCGATCAACAGACAAACGTGGGGGATGGCAGGATTCATAAACGAAATCCAAAAGCGTGTAGGAAATGCTCCTCTTCCCCGCAGGTCACCTGAGAAAAGCTAATTATAATGGAGCTGCTTTTTTTCTTTTTCTTTTTTGGGTCCAAGGAAAAATTCTACCAGAGGTTAGTGAAGGGAGGGACTAGGAAACTTGTTTCTTTCACACCCTGTAGAGGCAGATGTGAAGCTTTTGGAAATCAGTTTGGCAGAGTCTACACCCTTTGACCTACTGATTCCTGGTTTGGGAAATAAGTAAAATAGAACCTAAGTAGGGAACAGGTTACTGTTTAAGGCAGTGCAGTTCAGTGTTTTATATATGTATAT